ACAGAACTTTGTTTCTAAAATATGTAAGAAGGCTCGTTTTGTAATGTAAAAGCTGTTCTCTGAAGTGCGACGGTTATATATTTTCGCATCATGACAACTTGATTCCTAGTCAGATTTGAAAATAGCAACGTTTCTAGTTTCTTTATGGAGCTGATGCAGTGACTCAGATCTGGTGTGCTTAAAGATTCGCATTTGTCTAGTTCTGCTTTGAATTCCTCCTCAAAGATCAAAGAATCTTCATTTGTATCGGTACATATATATGTGTTGCCTTGGATTACACATTCTAATAAAGGGGCTAATAGAGTGACAGTGTAAAAGGCATGCTATACCCTTCTCATACAACCCATACAATCTCAGAAATAATGTATTTCCTGCTTCCCCCGTGGATTTTACTTAGAAACATTTGTTTTCTGGAATGAAAAAATTAGGACAATTCCCTTCATATACGTTTTGAATAATAAATTTAAAGCAAAACCAAAAACCCTGCAAAATATTTTGAGGACACCAATTACGCATTGTATTTTTCTGAAGAACCCAGAAAACTGCCGTCTTCATGTGGTAAGAACAGAGTAATTTGTCATCTTCACTCAATTCGTTGTTAATGACTTCTTTTAGAAATAATTTAAGTAGGCCATACGTTAAAAACTGGCAGTGATTCATGGAGTAAACGAGTTTCTGTTCTGCAAGAGAAAAAGAGATTCTCCATTCTTTATCTTCATAGTTTCCTAATTTGTGTCCTATTGCTACAAAATGGCATCCACTTCTGACTATGTCTTTAAGGACCCGCCCCTCCGGCCAAATATTACATCTCTTTATCCACGGCGAGGCTGATGGAGGCCAAAAGTTACTGCTAATGCAATGAGCATTGTCATACTCCATGTTTTCTGTACATGTATAATTCCCAGTGCTACACGGCCCGTGCTCAGTAGAATTTGGGAATATATGTGAACATGTGATTTGTCTGTATAAAGAACTAGATATATAACGTCTATCATTGATACAGATACATGCTGAATCCACGCTTTTTCTGTCTGTCGGTGTCAGCAACTCTAGTAAATTGAATCCTGGTAAGCTTTTAGAACAGTCAGCGAGAATCAATGCGATTTTGTTAACATTGTAATTTTGAACCTGACCCAGGCTCCAGATAACTCTGTGTTTATATAAGCAGTACATATTGTCAATATCTGATCCAGGTAATCTAAAACCTTCTCTGCGACTCCCACTCATCATTTCAAAGGCTTGATTTTTATCTTCTCGCACAATCTCCATAAGATCCACAACTTCTCTTCTCATGGCTACCTGTTGTGAAGTCCCAATAATACCACATAGTCCCTTAAATACTGACTCGGAGACGTGTTGCATATCAATGTCCCTTTAAAATAGCAAGCAATAAATCAGATAACAATAGATTTTAAAAAAACATATTGAAAGAAGCATATACTCCATAAACACAATTAAAGTTTTTTTTTCTTTATTTTGTAGTTTTGCAATCGTCTATTTTTGATTTTTATTTTTGCTTATACGAGTTTTGTAAGCATAAACTGTTTTCGATATTCAAAAGTTGTTATAATGCATCGATCCTGAACATGCTGAACATATTTTTTTTCTTATCTGTTCAGTATATGATGGTAAATTGCAAAGTCGACTTAATTTTAACACAGTACGGCCCTCTGTTTTTTTTTAAATATCAGAATAATACATGTATATGCTTGAAAATAAGAAATCAGATGATGTATATGCATCTGATCCAACCTCTGATGGTTTACATTCCGTTTTTGCTCTGTTCTTATTTTGTATTGTTGTATAGACTTTGATATTGAATACTTTTCGTCATCTCCATATCTTTCGTCTTTTTTGGCAATCCCCCTATATGAATAAATGGCAATATAAAGATATGAGGCACAGGTAAGGGTTCAGGACTGAATTCATTGAAAATATTAAATCCACTTCTGGGAGTTATGAGGCCCAGGTACTAAAGGGGGATAGATGGAAAGACTAACAATGCATTGATAAGTGTTTTGATGTTTGCTGGCAATTCAGCTCTATAATCATCCACCAAACTTTATTTCCAGCACAGCAACTACATTGAGCTTTAAATCTCGATGCATATACTTTTTTTATTCACCTTCACTTATTGAATACATATAGGGCTGAAAAAGTCCATGGGAAATAAAAGAATTATTGTGTTTATATTTATATATATACATGTATCTATTTATGAAAAAATGTAAGATTTAAAAAAGGGGGATTTAGAACTTTTATATGGTACATTAGATTTATTTGAAATATTTGCATTATTAAATGAATTTTTGTTTCAAATTTTACAGATTCATATGCTTAAGCAGAGGTTACTGGCCCTAGAAAACAATGGAATCCCACCGAATGAAACTTCATTATAGCAACAGGTGTTTTGTGAAGCTGGAAATGAATGGATATTTTTTATTCTGTGATATTTTTTTGTTTCAATATTTGCTTTAAATTTTTTTTGATGTGAAGATCACATTTTTTTAGTTATAAAAAAACAAGTTAAACACATTGATGCCATAGTAGTGAGTTTAGTTTGAATTAAGCTGGTCATGATTTCATGATATTTACTGTATTATTATTATAGTTATTTATTTTAGAAATTCTTTATAGTTTGTGCATAGGTTGTATTTGATTGTACAGTAAGTTAATTATTTTGAGATGGAAAAAATTGAGGCAAGTTTAAAATCTATCAATATGTACAATGTATATATATGTTACTCATATTTTCCAAAAAAGCCATTCTCAAAATAAGATAAATAAATTATTTCATAACAGTATTGCCCTCTAATGATTTTATTTACTGTGAGAAATAATTTTTTTAATCGTGTATTATCATAAATAAGAATAATACATTTGTATGATGTCAATTTCAAGATATTTTTCTTGATACTATAATGCATTGCGTAAGTATTGCACATACTTAAAATTTTGATTTATGTCACAAGAACCTTTTCCTGTATTGAGGCATTTACATGTATACAAGTCAAGTAATTAAGAAAGAATCTCGGATTTCTACCACATGACTTTTTTTATTCTGTGTTTGAGGTACCAGTATTTTTATGTAGATTTTGGACACCCTTATTATTATATTTTTTTAATTTTGCACTTTTTTATGTTAATATTTTGACATTGCAATTTTTAAAAAAATATTTAAATATATTTTAATGTCAAAGAGTACACTGTCATCTCCACAACTTTGTTCACGATGTTTTAATGCATTGTTTTAAATTCACTCATGACCTACATTTGTAAGTATTAAAATTGGTCCCACCGTACTAAATATGAACTAATTAAAAAATATTTAGTTAAAGTAAGAAAAATGCAGTTTTTCAAAAGGCGATGAATTTCATGTATTTGTAATGTATAAATTGAGTATCACATGACCAACAGTATTCATTAGTGTATAAATGTAAATATTATAATGAGAATATTATATGTGTTCAACCCATGGTTCTAGGCGTTATTTATGTGTACTTTATAGTGAAACATTACTGCATTTATCACTGAGACTTGTGTAATATTGCATTCATTTGTTACTTCATGTATTCATGCAGCTTTACTTTATGAGACAGTTAAATGACATCATCTGCTTGAAATAAAGCAGTTATTTTAAATGTCTGTGACATCTGCATTAAACTAATAAACAACACATGAAAGAAAATTAGTGGATATTTATGTGTCATTTATTGCACAAAAGATGTGTTCGAAAAATCTATCTAGATGTAGATTTTTCTAAGAAATGTTTTTATAAAAAATACTAGCAGGTGTTTTTCAATTTTAATTTTCGACCTTCAAAATGAAACTGTCATGAAGGAACATGCAATAATTAAATGTACAATCCTTAAACAATTGTAATTTAATAATCATATAATCAGACTTATTTATTTGATAAGAAATAAATTGAATCAAACACATTATCAATGATAAAATCTGTAAATCAATTATAAATGTTTACATTACATACCTATGTTTTTTTACATAGAAAGTATGTGGAAATTTACTGCATACAAACCACCCTAACACATACACGGGGTCAATTTAAGGTGAAAGGGGATGTTTTAGTTTGACGTCAAAAATGTTGAACGCTGAGGAAAGTGTAACATTATAAGCAAAAATTAAATATCATGACCACTTTGAACAGCTTTTCCATTAACTCAAACGATAATACAGGAATTTTGTTGAAATAAAAATCACAAAAACGCAATATGAGTTAAAATGTAAATATAGGCAATGAATCATTATTTTTTTGAAAAAGAAAAAAATAGAAAATATAGTCTCCTAACAGCAATAGTTTGAGCAAATTTTCTTAGGATGCTAATGAGTGTCATTCAATTTCTTTGCACATACCATTGCAGTTATGAGACTTTATTTTTCAAAAAATAATGATTTATTGCTTAATGAACATGAAATAAAGAAAACCAACAGACAATACAAGTCTGTCTACTGGGAATGAAACAAAATAAAGAATCCTGGAAATTGGAGAGTTTGGATTGAATACAATGTAGTTTTATTTCTTGCCAAAGGATATTCCTTTATACGGTTTATTGAAATGGCAAAATTGAAATCAACCGTTGGTTTTCTATAAGTTAATATAAAATTAAGGTTTTGATTAAATTGAAAAAAAAATCATTTTAAAATTGGTATAATTTTATATGTTATTATTACAAACAACATTAATATTGATTTTAAACTCTCAAGAGGGACATTAAACAACAATCAAACAATTCTGAAACATACCACTAGAATATATAAGGTACATGTTGATGGGCAGAATATAATACATGTATCTTATAGTCTAGCATTGTCTTCTGTACAAATAATAAAACTCATGCAATTGAATACAGTTCGTATATAATCAACCTTTTCAAATTAAAATGACTACCGTGTCCCATGTTTAAAACGTTTGTATGTCGAGGTTAAATTCTTTGAGCTTTAGGTGTACCAAAGAGGATTATAATATTCTCTTGCTTTATTCATCTGAAAAGATCAGGCCTTAAAACTCGGAGTGAATCTCGAATTCTCATCAGTGTTGCAATTTGGATTTTGCTTAAAGGTTCTTGTCCAATGGATTGCAAGAACGAGCTTATGGCACCATAGTGGTTTCCTGAAAGTTGTTGACAGATCCCTAAAATCTGCCACGATATGTCCCCGTTGCCGGCTGACGGAGGCACTATCTGATCTAGATGGACAATGAACTGAAGATCATTTAAAGCTGTTTGTGCCCTAGTTGGATCAACTTGTGTGAAGCACAAGAACTCGAGCATGTGTAACATAATGAACGTTGGTACGAATATTTTATTCCGATCATATGTATCAAAAAAACCAGAGAGCTGTTCTAAAAATAATTCGTCGACATAAAAGACGTTATTATCAAGAACTATATCCCCTAAAAAAGCCACTTTTAACTTGATATTCCATAACTGCTTTTCTGTTTCATCCGTATCATCTGAATTTTCGGTTAATAACATGTTTATACACATCTGTGAACACATATTTGATTTGCTCTTTGTCTTCTCTAAAACATTTAAAGCATCCATATATCTAAATTTCCCGTAGTAATACATGGACATATACAACATATCCGACACATACCCAAACTTTGCTACTAGCTTAAGCATGTTGCTGGATATTTTGTCAGTCTTATACTGAACTTTGTTTCTATTTAATATGTAAGAAGGCTCGTTTTGTAATGTAAAAGCTGTTCTCTGAAGTGCGACGGTTATATATTTTTGCAACATGACATTTTGATTCCTAGTCAAATTTGAAAATACCAACGTTTCTAGTTTCTTTATGGAGCTGATGCAGTGACTCAGATCTGGTGTGCTTAATGATTCGCATTTGTCTAGTTCTGCTTTGAATTCCTCCTCAAAGATCAAAGAATCTTCATTTGTATCGGTACATATATATGTGTTGCCTTGGATTACACATTCTAATAAAGGGGCTAATAGAGTGACAGTGTAAAAGGCATGCTATACCCTTCTCATACAACCCATACAATCTCAGAAATAATGTATTTCCTGCTTCCCCCGTGGATTTTACTTAGAAACATTTGTTTTCTGGAATGAAAAAATTAGGACAATTCCCTTCATATACGTTTTGAATAATAAATTTAAAGCAAAACCAAAAACCCTGCAAAATATTTTGAGGACACCAATTACGCATTGTATTTTTCTGAAGAACCCAGAAAACTGCCGTCTTCATGTGGTAAGAACAGAGTAATTTGTCATCTTCACTCAATTCGTTGTTAATGACTTCTTTTAGAAATAATTTAAGTAGGCCATACGTTAAAAACTGGCAGTGATTCATGGAGTAAACGAGTTTCTGTTCTGCAAGAGAAAAAGAGATTCTCCATTCTTTATCTTCATAGTTTCCTAATTTGTGTCCTATTGCTACAAAATGGCATCCACTTCTGACTATGTCTTTAAGGACCCGCCCCTCCGGCCAAATATTACATCTCTTTATCCACGGCGAGGCTGATGGAGGCCAAAAGTTACTGCTAATGCAATGAGCATTGTCATACTCCATGTTTTCTGTACATGTATAATTCCCAGTGCTACACGGCCCGTGCTCAGTAGAATTTGGGAATATATGTGAACATGTGATTTGTCTGTATAAAGAACTAGATATATAACGTCTATCATTGATACAGATACATGCTGAATCCACGCTTTTTCTGTCTGTCGGTGTCAGCAACTCTAGTAAATTGAATCCTGGTAAGCTTTTAGAACAGTCAGCGAGAATCAATGCGATTTTGTTAACATTGTAATTTTGAACCTGACCCAGGCTCCAGATAACTCTGTGTTTATATAAGCAGTACATATTGTCAATATCTGATCCAGGTAATCTAAAACCTTCTCTGCGACTCCCACTCATCATTTCAAAGGCTTGATTTTTATCTTCTCGCACAATCTCCATAAGATCCACAACTTCTCTTCTCATGGCTACCTGTTGTGAAGTCCCAATAATACCACATAGTCCCTTAAATACTGACTCGGAGACGTGTTGCATATCAATGTCCCTTTAAAATAGCAAGCAATAAATCAGATAACAATAGATTTTAAAAAAACATATTGAAAGAAGCATATACTCCATAAACACAATTAAAGTTTTTTTTTCTTTATTTTGTAGTTTTGCAATCGTCTATTTTTGATTTTTATTTTTGCTTATACGAGTTTTGTAAGCATAAACTGTTTTCGATATTCAAAAGTTGTTATAATGCATCGATCCTGAACATGCTGAACATATTTTTTTTCTTATCTGTTCAGTATATGATGGTAAATTGCAAAGTCGACTTAATTTTAACACAGTACGGCCCTCTGTTTTTTTTTAAATATCAGAATAATACATGTATATGCTTGAAAATAAGAAATCAGATGATGTATATGCATCTGATCCAACCTCTGATGGTTTACATTCCGTTTTTGCTCTGTTCTTATTTTGTATTGTTGTATAGACTTTGATATTGTTAATACTTTTCGTCATCTCCATATCTTTCGTCTTTTTTGGCAATCCCCCTATATGAATAAATGGCAATATAAAGATATGAGGCACAGGTAAGGGTTCAGGACTGAATTCATTGAAAATATTAAATCCACTTCTGGGAGTTATGAGGCCCAGGTACTAAAGGGGGATAGATGGAAAGACTAACAATGCATTGATAAGTGTTTTGATGTTTGCTGGCAATTCAGCTCTATAATCATCCACCAAACTTTATTTCCAGCACAGCAACTACATTGAGCTTTAAATCTCGATGCATATACTTTTTTTATTCACCTTCACTTATTGAATACATATAGGGCTGAAAAAGTCCATGGGAAATAAAAGAATTATTGTGTTTATATTTATATATATACATGTATCTATTTATGAAAAAATGTAAGATTTAAAAAAGGGGGATTTAGAACTTTTATATGGTACATTAGATTTATTTGAAATATTTGCATTATTAAATGAATTTTTGTTTCAAATTTTACAGATTCATATGCTTAAGCAGAGGTTACTGGCCCTAGAAAACAATGGAATCCCACCGAATGAAACTTCATTATAGCAACAGGTGTTTTGTGAAGCTGGAAATGAATGGATATTTTTTATTCTGTGATATTTTTTTGTTTCAATATTTGCTTTAAATTTTTTTTGATGTGAAGATCACATTTTTTTAGTTATAAAAAAACAAGTTAAACACATTGATGCCATAGTAGTGAGTTTAGTTTGAATTAAGCTGGTCATGATTTCATGATATTTACTGTATTATTATTATAGTTATTTATTTTAGAAATTCTTTATAGTTTGTGCATAGGTTGTATTTGATTGTACAGTAAGTTAATTATTTTGAGATGGAAAAAATTGAGGCAAGTTTAAAATCTATCAATATGTACAATGTATATATATGTTACTCATATTTTCCAAAAAAGCCATTCTCAAAATAAGATAAATAAATTATTTCATAACAGTATTGCCCTCTAATGATTTTATTTACTGTGAGAAATAATTTTTTTAATCGTGTATTATCATAAATAAGAATAATACATTTGTATGATGTCAATTTCAAGATATTTTTCTTGATACTATAATGCATTGCGTAAGTATTGCACATACTTAAAATTTTGATTTATGTCACAAGAACCTTTTCCTGTATTGAGGCATTTACATGTATACAAGTCAAGTAATTAAGAAAGAATCTCGGATTTCTACCACATGACTTTTTTTATTCTGTGTTTGAGGTACCAGTATTTTTATGTAGATTTTGGACACCCTTATTATTATATTTTTTTAATTTTGCACTTTTTTATGTTAATATTTTGACATTGCAATTTTTAAAAAAATATTTAAATATATTTTAATGTCAAAGAGTACACTGTCATCTCCACAACTTTGTTCACGATGTTTTAATGCATTGTTTTAAATTCACTCATGACCTACATTTGTAAGTATTAAAATTGGTCCCACCGTACTAAATATGAACTAATTAAAAAATATTTAGTTAAAGTAAGAAAAATGCAGTTTTTCAAAAGGCGATGAATTTCATGTATTTGTAATGTATAAATTGAGTATCACATGACCAACAGTATTCATTAGTGTATAAATGTAAATATTATAATGAGAATATTATATGTGTTCAACCCATGGTTCTAGGCGTTATTTATGTGTACTTTATAGTGAAACATTACTGCATTTATCACTGAGACTTGTGTAATATTGCATTCATTTGTTACTTCATGTATTCATGCAGCTTTACTTTATGAGACAGTTAAATGACATCATCTGCTTGAAATAAAGCAGTTATTTTAAATGTCTGTGACATCTGCATTAAACTAATAAACAACACATGAAAGAAAATTAGTGGATATTTATGTGTCATTTATTGCACAAAAGATGTGTTCGAAAAATCTATCTAGATGTAGATTTTTCTAAGAAATGTTTTTATAAAAAATACTAGCAGGTGTTTTTCAATTTTAATTTTCGACCTTCAAAATGAAACTGTCATGAAGGAACATGCAATAATTAAATGTACAATCCTTAAACAATTGTAATTTAATAATCATATAATCAGACTTATTTATTTGATAAGAAATAAATTGAATCAAACACATTATCAATGATAAAATCTGTAAATCAATTATAAATGTTTACATTACATACCTATGTTTTTTTACATAGAAAGTATGTGGAAATTTACTGCATACAAACCACCCTAACACATACACGGGGTCAATTTAAGGTGAAAGGGGATGTTTTAGTTTGACGTCAAAAATGTTGAACGCTGAGGAAAGTGTAACATTATAAGCAAAAATTAAATATCATGACCACTTTGAACAGCTTTTCCATTAACTCAAACGATAATACAGGAATTTTGTTGAAATAAAAATCACAAAAACGCAATATGAGTTAAAATGTAAATATAGGCAATGAATCATTATTTTTTTGAAAAAGAAAAAAATAGAAAATATAGTCTCCTAACAGCAATAGTTTGAGCAAATTTTCTTAGGATGCTAATGAGTGTCATTCAATTTCTTTGCACATACCATTGCAGTTATGAGACTTTATTTTTCAAAAAATAATGATTTATTGCTTAATGAACATGAAATAAAGAAAACCAACAGACAATACAAGTCTGTCTACTGGGAATGAAACAAAATAAAGAATCCTGGAAATTGGAGAGTTTGGATTGAATACAATGTAGTTTTATTTCTTGCCAAAGGATATTCCTTTATACGGTTTATTGAAATGGCAAAATTGAAATCAACCGTTGGTTTTCTATAAGTTAATATAAAATTAAGGTTTTGATTAAATTGAAAAAAAAATCATTTTAAAATTGGTATAATTTTATATGTTATTATTACAAACAACATTAATATTGATTTTAAACTCTCAAGAGGGACATTAAACAACAATCAAACAATTCTGAAACATACCACTAGAATATATAAGGTACATGTTGATGGGCAGAATATAATACATGTATCTTATAGTCTAGCATTGTCTTCTGTACAAATAATAAAACTCATGCAATTGAATACAGTTCGTATATAATCAACCTTTTCAAATTAAAATGACTACCGTGTCCCATGTTTAAAACGTTTGTATGTCGAGGTTAAATTCTTTGAGCTTTAGGTGTACCAAAGAGGATTATAATATTCTCTTGCTTTATTCATCTGAAAAGATCAGGCCTTAAAACTCGGAGTGAATCTCGAATTCTCATCAGTGTTGCAATTTGGATTTTGCTTAAAGGTTCTTGTCCAATGGATTGCAAGAACGAGCTTATGGCACCATAGTGGTTTCCTGAAAGTTGTTGACAGATCCCTAAAATCTGCCACGATATGTCCCCGTTGCCGGCTGACGGAGGCACTATCTGATCTAGATGGACAATGAACTGAAGATCATTTAAAGCTGTTTGTGCCCTAGTTGGATCAACTTGTGTGAAGCACAAGAACTCGAGCATGTGTAACATAATGAACGTTGGTACGAATATTTTATTCCGATCATATGTATCAAAAAAACCAGAGAGCTGTTCTAAAAATAATTCGTCGACATAAAAGACGTTATTATCAAGAACTATATCCCCTAAAAAAGCCACTTTTAACTTGATATTCCATAACTGCTTTTCTGTTTCATCCGTATCATCTGAATTTTCGGTTAATAACATGTTTATACACATCTGTGAACACATATTTGATTTGCTCTTTGTCTTCTCTAAAACATTTAAAGCATCCATATATCTAAATTTCCCGTAGTAATACATGGACATATACAACATATCCGACACATACCCAAACTTTGCTACTAGCTTAAGCATGTTGCTGGATATTTTGTCAGTCTTATACTGAACTTTGTTTCTATTTAATATGTAAGAAGGCTCGTTTTGTAATGTAAAAGCTGTTCTCTGAAGTGCGACGGTTATATATTTTTGCAACATGACATTTTGATTCCTAGTCAAATTTGAAAATACCAACGTTTCTAGTTTCTTTATGGAGCTGATGCAGTGACTCAGATCTGGTGTGCCTAATGATTCGCATTTGTCTAGTTCTGCTTTGAATTCCTTCTCAAAGATCAAAGAATCTTCATTTGTATCGGTACATACGTGTTGCCTTGGATTACACATTCTAATAAAGGGGCTAATGGAGTGACAGTGTAAAAGGCATGCTATACCCTTCTCATACAACCCATACAATCTCAGAAATAATGTATTTCCTGCTTCCCCGTGGATTTTACTTAGAAACATGTTGTTTTCTGGAATGAAAAAATTTGGACAACTCCCTTCATATACGCATTTAAGAATAAATTTAAAGCAAAACCAAAAACCCTGCAAAAGATTTTGAGGACACCAATTACGCATTGTATTTTTCTGAAGAACCCAGAAAACTGCCGTCTTCATGTGGTAAGAACAAAGTAATTTGTCATCTTCACTCAATTCATTGTTAATGACTTCTTTTAGAAATAATTTAAGTAGGCCATACATTAAAAACTGGCAGTGATTCATGGAGTAAACGAGTTTCTGTTCTGCAAGAGAA